AGTGTTATGATTTGGTGCCACTGTCTTGATTCATGCTCAGGCACCAGCAGTCTTATCCGCCATTGCTTTTACAACATCAGTGCAGTTGGCAACACAGTGAAAAGTGGCAAGTAGCAGTTCCGTATTATTATGAAAATAGTTTTGGTCTGGAAAACTTCCTAAAAGAGTCTTGGATTCTGTGGACCACATTTTGGGAACCACTGTTCTAAAGAACATCGAGACACTGGCCATTAATAGATGTACCTTCCCCTTGCGAAGAATGTTTCATTTTTAAGAACTGTATATAGTATGTATTTTTGCATCCTGGTCAATTTTTTTTCACAGTACACTCATAGATGTCTTTCTACACACTGTGCAGTGAAAAAACTGCTATGTTTATGTGTAGTTAAGGTGAAAAAGAAGAAAAAAATCTTTCCCCCTAAAAAGTGTGCTACTGAGGTATTCTATCATTATACTAATCATAGATTTTTCTCCAGAGATTTTCATAAAGTGGCAGTATTTATTTCATCTATATCCTATAGTTTCTACCTCACTCTAAATTATTGAACATTTTTAAAATGTAAAGAAAGTTACTGAAAATGTTTTATTTTTTCCTCTTCAGTACAAAGCGAGTGGATCATTCAAATACCAGATTGGCTTCCCAGCTTGATAGAAATCCAGGTAATCTCTATTTGTGAGCGAGGAGGCAAGTCTGAGGATTTATTTTACATATAAATGTTTATATTCACCCCCAACTCATTGGGAATCCTCTATGAATTCCAAATAGTCATTTTTTAAAAATGTAATATCTTTTGCTTTATTTTATTTTAGCAAAGTATATATGAATTAATCTATAATTTATATATCCATCTTTTATATTATAAAATGCATTTTGAGAGTGCTGATAAGAATAAAATAATGCCATTCTCAGATCATTCTTTCATGGGTCAGAAACTGAAAAACAGTTAAAGTAAAACTGGTCAGATGTGTTGAAGGGTGTACAATCATACTGATACGTGTTTTATTAATATGTTTGCTTCCACCTTTCCCTCCATGTTAAGGTAAATATTAATTTTATACAGTTTATTATATACAGAGATGTCATCTAGGCAGCCAATAACCACTTAGGATAGAGCATCAGTGGGCGAATCTTTGGTGGTGGTACCATTATCTAAAATCTGGTTCTTAGTTTTGTCATTTGGGAAACATCATTTTGTCGGCCTGCCTAATAGTCTGACAGAGAAAAAGTGAATCTCATTGCCCCAACCGTAAGAGATTAATATATCAACCAGAACTCCAATGTATTAATTTACTAAAGGAAATCTTGCTCCCAGATAGACTGGAATATTTATATCCGTTTGACTCACGAATTCCTTCAAATACTTTTTCCATCTGAGAAACCAATCTAGAAGCATCAGATTGATTCTTAATTATACAATTGGATTAAGGAGAATTAGTTATTTGATATTAATGACTGTCATAATCATGTTGTGGTAAAGAGAAGAATGATTTCAGCTGTGGTATACGCTTGTAAAGGGTTGGAGTTCTCGTGATGATGATTCCATCCTACGTAATAAAAAGCACATGTTCTGAATTAATATACACATTTTCATGATGGGCAGACATAGAATCGTTAGTCATTTTATTGACATTAAAATCTGGGATTCCCCTTTCATTATTTTATTATTTAGTTTGGCTGAGTTTAAAATAATTATTAAGCTTTAAATATTTTGCCATTCTCTATTACTATACTTTGGGCACCCATTTACAGATT